GAGTAGAGTAGAATAAAATAGGAAAGAATAGAGTAGAGTAGAGTAGAACAGAATAGAATAGGAAATAGAGTAGAGTAGAGTAGAATAAAATAGGAAAGAATAGAGTAGAGTAGAGTAGAGTAGAGTAGAATAAAATAGGAAAGAATAGAGTAGAATAGAGTAGAGTAGAGTAGAGCAGAGTAGAGTAAACAGAGTTGGAAGAGACTTTGGAGGTCTTCTAGTCCAGCCCCCTGCTCAGAATACAGAATGGAATGGAATATAAAATAGAATAGGGAGTAGAGTAGAGTAGAGTAGAGTAGAGTAGAGTAGAGTAGAGTAGAGTAGAGTAAACAGAGTTGGAAGAGACTCTGGAGGCCTTCTAGTCCAACCCCACCTGCCTAGGCAGGTTAATTCATACACTCCCCTATAGCGATTCTCAATGCCTGGAGATGCCACCTCATTCATCTCAAAAGCTTCCAAAGGGTACCTTAGAACCCTAGAATCACAGCGCTGGAAGGGACCCCAGGTCTTCTAGTCCAACCCCTTGCTCAAGCATGAGACCTTACGCCATCCCGATCAAGTGGTTGTCCATCCAGTCTAGTTTTGAAAACCTCCAGTGAGGCAATTTCTCTTCACTTCTAAGCTGGGTCTCTCTTGGACAAGCTTCAACCCATTCCTTCTTATCTTGCCTTTCTGAGGTAGGGCTGAAGAACAGTGGTGTGAACAGCGGAAAGAGAGTCAACTACTGACCAACCACTTCTCTGCTCAGTTGATACTCTGAACTCAACAAAACGAAGCAAAGCATCTCCCACAGTTGTTGGAGAGCGCCAACGTTTTCAATAAATCACCATGATACAGGGATCCCTAAAGTGGATCCCTAAATCCCATTAACTATCATCCATAGTGTCAAGGAGGCTATAAGAAATACTACAGAATAGAATAGAGTAGAGTAGAGTAGAGTAGAGTAGAATAAAATAGGAAAGAATAGAGTAGAGTAGAATAGAATAGGAAAGAATAGAGTAGAGTAGAGTAGGTAGAGTAGAGTAAACAGAGTTGGAAGAGACTTTGAAGAAAACAATCCATCAACCGTGTAAAGCCATCCAACTAGGCTTCCAACTCTGATGGAGCCCATTTGTTTCATCAAAACATTGTATCTCCCCTTCTTTTACCTTAGAGACTCTTCAGACTTGGCAAACTTAAGGCTTGCGGCCCCTCCAGAATTCCCCAGCCAGCATATGGGGAACATCACCAGAATTTAGCTGGCTGAGTAATTCTGGGTGTTGAAGTCCACAAGCTTTAAAGTTGTGAAGTTGGGAGACCCCTGATGTAAATTATTAAGGGTCTTTCTGGGGAATTCTGGGAGTCAAAGTCCACAAGTCTTAAAGTCATCAAGTTTGGAGGCTCTTGTTGCAGATTATTAAGGGCCTTTCTAGGGAATTCTGGAGTTGAAGTCCACAAGTCCGTTGTAGATTATTAAGGGCCTCTGGAGAATTCTGGGAGTCGAAGTCCACAAGTCTTAAAGTCATCAAGTTTGGAAACCCCTGTTGTAGATTATTAAGGGCCTTTCTGGGGAATTCTGGAAGTTGAAG